GGAGAATCCAGAAATATTAGGGTCCCATCTTCGAGTATGTTCAATGAATGATGCTGGTGCAATGGGTTAGCTCCTCGAGGAGATAGACAAAGTGCATCTCCTAAGATAAGACAGTAAAATTAAATGGGAAGCCCTGCCCCAATCTGGCATCTTTTAACAAGCACAACACAAGCACTCACCATGCTGCTGTGGTCAGCGATGACCTTGGACTTCTTGGTGTTGACACCACACTGTCAAGTTTCTATATGACTTCTCCCTCACATAACCATGTGACTCATATTTGGCCCTCAAGAAGGAAACAAAAAAGAAATAAAGAAAAGGCAGAAGGGCTGGGCGTGGTGGCTGACGCCTGTAATCCTAGCACTATGGGAGGCTGAGGTGGGAGGATCGCTCAAGGTCAGGAGTTCAAGACCAGCCTGAGCAAGAGACTCCGTCTCTACTAAAAATAGAAAGAAATTATCTGGACAACTAAAAATATATAGAAAAAATTAATCGGGCATGGTGGTGCATGACTGTAGTCGTAGCTATTTGGGAGGTTGAGGCAGAAGGATTGCTTGAGCCCAGGAGTTAGAGGCTGCTGTGAGCTAGGCTGACACCAGGGCACTCTAGCCCAGGCAACAGAGTGAGACTGTGTCTGAAAAAAAAAAAAGAAAGAAACGAAAAGAAAAGGCAGAAGGAGGAAGAGAAAGAAAGAATGAGGGGGGGTTAGAGAGAGATGACAGATGAGAAAGCGTCTCTATCATAGAAACATAAAACCCCTTCCCTTTGGCTTCATGCTCCCTTGGTCTTGATAACAGAATTTCATCTGTAAGGCTAGATTTATTTGATATCTTTAGTAGAAAATAACAAAACAAATGCCAGCTAGCTTATGGGAAATGTATTAAAATTACACAGAACTCAATGGCAAGGATATAGCCAGACCTCAGAAATCACTGGATTCAGGGAATGAAACTCCATGGGAAACCCAAGGAGGACTGTCTTTTGATTCTGCTTCTCTCCATGTGTCTACTTTATTCTTTGTCTTGGGGATCAGTTCTTTTCTTCTGACTGCTTGTTGGGATATGGCCATCAGTATATAGTGCAAAAAATGACCTGTTATACAGCCATTCCTAGAGAACTCATTTCCATTCTGATTTCCTAACTCCCCTTTTTGCCTTTTTCTTTCCTCATTTCTCCAAATTCCTGGGTAAGGGTCTCTGATTAACCCATCTTGGGTTGGGGCCTACCCTTGGCTTTTATTTCTATGGATGACAGAAAGGGGACCCAGGTGATAAACTGAAGATGTTGCTTTCTACCATGCAGCTATTCTCAAAGGTGACACAGGATGAGAATAACATGGGAATAAAAGGATTTTTTTTTTTTTTTTTTTTGAGACAGAGTCTCACTCTTTTGCCCAGGCTGGAGTGAGTGCCGTGGCGTCAGCCTAGCTCACAGCAACCTCAAACTCCTGGACTCAAGAAATCCTACTGCCTCAGCCTCCCGAGTAGCTGGGACTACAGTAAAAGGATTTTTTATTATGAAAATTTTCCAACACATGCAAAAATAGAGACATTAATATAATAAACCCCATACACAATCACCCAGATTCAGACATAACATTTCAATATGTGTCTCTAAAAGCTATGGATATTTACTCATACGAGCACAATGCCATTACTACACCTAAAAAAGTCAACAATAATTCCTTTGTATTTTCTAATATCAAATCAATACTTAAATTTCTCTGATGGCAGGGAATTTTTTGTATTTGGTTTTGTTAAATCAGGATCCAAACAAGATTTTCATGTTTTATGCCTCATACATATCTTTTACCTAGAGCAGTTCTCACCCAACTATCTGACTCAGTTTTTATGACCTATTAAGAAATCAGGTTAGTTGTTCTACTGAATGTCCCACACACTGGATTTGTCTGTCTGCTTCCTCATGATGTCTTCTAACTTGTTCCTTTGTTTTCATAAACTAAAAGTTAGTTAGCAGGGCTTGATTAGTTTCAGTTCAACTTTTTAGAAAAGTACACTTCATAGTGATGCTATATCTTTTCTGTTGCATCAAATTAGTAGGCATTAAATGTCTGTTTGTCCCACTCTCAGAGATGCTAAGACTGATCAGGTGGTGACAGCTTGATCCTTCTCTTGTAAAGGTCATTATCAAATGCTTGCCTAAAGTTTTCAACAATTGACAGTCTTCTTGAGTCATTTATTTCATTATGAATTACAAATTGTGATTTTCATATTTTATTATTCCTTTTATATTTATTATCTGGAATTCTTCCGTAGGAAAAAAAGAAATCTTCATTAATCAACTAAGGTTATGTGGTTACCATGAAGTACAGTTCACACAAGTAAGGCAAAACAAATTCTTAATTGTTTTTTAATTGCCTATTTTCAGTTATCTACTGTGGTGACAAATGAGTTGTTTTCATTTGGATAGAGGGCTCTCTGTCTTTTTGAGTACAATGAGAAACATTTAGGTTTTATATATGCAGTTGAGAGTTCTCCAAGACCACCATCAGGCTCAACAATTAGCTAAAAGGTCTCATAGAACTCAGCAAAACTGTTATGTTCACAGTTATGATTTATGACAACAAGAGGATGTGGATTAAAATCAGCAACATGAAAAAGCACACGGGGCAGAGTGCAGGAGAGAGCTGGCACAAAGCTTTCAGTTCTCCTTTCCCAGTGGAGTTGTTCAGACAGTGCTTATTTCTCCCAGTAGCAATGTGTGACAATATGCATGGAGCATTGCCAACCAGGGACGATGAGCCTTGGTGTGCAGAGATTTTATTGGGTAATCATCACATAGATATGGCCGACCACCCACTTGGCTGACCTTATTTTCCAGCCCCTCCAGAGATGGAACTGATATCAAATGGCCTAAAGCTCCCATCATAAATCACGTTGCTAGCATAGACTATCTGGCATAGCCCACGACTCCCAGGTAAACAAAGACATTATTATCAGGCAGAACATTCCAAGGGCTTAGAGGTTATCTCCAAGGAGCTGGAGCAAAGAGCTAAATCTATCTTTGGGTAAGGTTAATCTTTTATTGCACAACATATATTCAATGTATTTAAATAAACTACAGTCATTATTCTCCTGATATATAAATTTTCCCGTAATGGATCTTATGTCCTTTGACATGACTCAATTAGTCTTTGCTATCTTTCCTGCATCCTGACACAACTATGGGTCCCAGGCATGAATTCAGCCATTCCTCTAAGAAGCTCTGGCTTCTTTTATAGGAGAAATGGTGGTTAGAAACCATAGCTTTGTCCCAAGGTGTGCTCTTTACTACTGAGTTTTCACTGATTTAGGCCAGGGGTTGGCAAACTACAGCCCATATAGCTGCTTTTATACTATAATGGCAGAGTTGAATAGTTTTGCAACAGAGACTATGGCCTGCAAAACCTAAGAAAAAGTTCACTGACTCCTGTTCTAGGCCTTTTGTTGAAAAGAAAAATAAGTTGTGAGTTCATACTAATATCTACAATTCAAATTTAACATCAAATAATTTTATTTAATATTTTTGCTTTTATATGTGTATCTCTTCTCTTATGCTGAAAAATCTTTGTTCTAGGATTTTCCCAGGACTCTTCTGGTTTTAGTTCTGAAAGTTCTGGGTACTGGGAAACCACTTATTTGTGAGCAAATTTGGGCAGTTGTTCACCTTACTTGGTTCTCCATATGTTAATATCAGTATGAATTTTATTTATCCTATAATATATGTTAAATATATTCAAATTAGTTTTACCAAATTGTTAATAAATGTATTTACTGGTCTATTTAATGTGCAGGATATTCAATTAAGACTATTCACTCAAATCCTATATTCTAAAGTCAGTCGAAATAACTTTCTGTATGATTATGTCACCAAAGTGATTTACAGTTAGACGTTATTTTAGTTTGTTTACTCCTTGTAGAGGTAGCTTTTTATTTATTTATTTATTTATTTTTAATATATAAAATAATTTTTATTACTTCCTAGAGCTCTTATATGCTAAACATCGTTCAAGGTACAGAGTAGGTGCTGAACAAATTCAGGCTGACTGATGGAAAGGGATTTAGGTTAAGTATGAAAGAGAACTGCGCAACTATAAATTTTCACACGTAGTAGAACAAATTATTTAGAGTATTTTTTTTTAATCTTATGAAGCAGTGGTTCTTAACCTTTTTTGAGGGTCACATAAAGCCTTTGAGTATCTGATAAAAAACAATGGTCCAGGCCGGGCGCGGTGGCTCACGCCTGTAATCCTAGCTCTCTGGGAGGCCGAGGCGGGCGGATTGTTTGAGCTCAGGAGTTCGA